TTTCCTTTCTGTCCAACCTTTTCAAAGAAGCCAAAAGAAAACCACTGAGCGTCACCATTTGATCGGGGCAACTGTGAGGCAACAAATAAAATGTCTGCTATGTGTCTAGCTTGTGAGCAAGGCAAATGCATTTCCTGAACTCAGGGAGATTACTTTTCAGTGTGAGGAAGAAAGACATGAAACCAAATAACTTGCACAGACGAATATACAATTGCAACACATCTAGGAGGTACGGATGAGAGAAGCATGTAACACCCAGAGGGACATTATTCACTTTAGGGGTCAGGAAAGCCTGTCTGAGAAAGTGCTGTCAGGCAGGAGCAGAACCAGAAATCCAATCAAAATCAGACTCAAGGGCCCGCCCCAACTGCGGTCTTGGCCGCCACGTGCCAGGTGGCCTCAAGTGACCTGAGAACTGGACCACTTGCTGTTTGAGCTGCAACTCTGCTTCAGACAGCTTGGCACCACTCATCGCTCCAAGCCAGCAGCCTCCCAGGCCACAAGGCTCAGACCTGAGAGGCCAGTCCTTCCACTTGTCAGCTGCAGAACTGCAACGGGCCTTTGTGGCCAATCCAGCTGCTCCCTCCCTCCAGCTGGCACGAGACTCCATTTCCTCATTTGCCACTGACTTGTCACTCTGCCTTCCCGTGGGCTGCAGGGAAACTCTGACCTTTAATCCACTGTCCATGCCAACCAGCTGTACCCAGATCAGAGTTCACCACTGCCTCCCTGGCTGTGCTCAGAAGGATCAGCGGGGCCAAGAAATGCCCATCATCCCCAGAAGCTACCCTAGCCAGCATTATCCACCACGTGCTGAGTGTCTGCCATGTGATCAGCATTTCAATGTCTCCTTGATCTTCAACTCCAGTCCTGTGACATTTGATAGTACTTAACCCTTCCCTGCAGGGAAAGGAATCCAGCAGTTTGCATGGAGGCACGCCATGTGTATGGTGAAAGATTCACACCCAGGCCCATCTGTCTCCACATGCACCTGCCCACATCCAACCCTTGCAGTACCAGCCATATGGCCCATGTTGTTCCTAGCTCTAAGCACAGAGCCAAGAAATTACTCCCCCACGCATATCTTCCCATTGAATCTCCCATGTCTTCATTCATTAACAATCCTGTCTTAATTTACCCTTTCTGCAGTATCAGAGGCTGTGCCAAGTGGCACGCAATGTCTTCAGAACACAGAATCAACAGCAGAGGCACTTTATAGGGAGGTCGATGGTGACAGCTAAACCGGGAGAATCAGAAAAATGGTGATGTGTGTCTACAATCACACATATCAGTGCAGGGAGCAGTCATGGCTTCCAGGAAGGACTTCTGACTTCCCTGTGTCTCCCCCATGCACCCAGTATCACACCAACCACACAGAGGTGCTCATTAAGTGCTAGCTCGTTGCGACAACCAGCCACATCCCAGTGTACCCTCTGCCACCAGCCAGGACAACCTCACCTCAAGCCCAGCTGAGCACTGGACAGAACGTGCGTGAGACGCTCCACCAGGAGAGTCGGGGTCTTACGTTCCACAGAGAGATCCAAAGGAAGTTGGCAGAGACCCAAGTAAACAGAGCTCTTAGTCCTCGCAGCCAGCTGCAATCCCTCGTCCCCCGTGGATATCCAAGCTCTAAGAATCCATGAGGCACTCAGCCAGGGCCACCCCTAAAACCACTTTAAGTATCCTGAAATGTGCCGGGCGTGTGTCATTCCAGTGCATGGTTCCACCAGGGTTATTCCCTAGACGACTGAATATTCACTGTAAATCCATCAGGCTCAGAAAATAATAGTTGACCGAAGCTCCATGCAGCTGATAGGCGCAGCCGTCTTGAGGGGCATCTTTTTCATCTCCTTCTGGCCAAAAGATCAGGCCTGCAACAGGGAAGAAGAAAAAAAACAGTCTCATCACGGTCACTGACCCCAAGCAGTATTCAGTCATTCTTTCCTCCTTGTAGTTGGTCCTAACACAGTCAGAGAGTAACTCACTACAAATAATTCTCCATACCTGGTAACACACAAAGGTGAGACTGGCCTCTAGGGAGGCCTTCAGGTGAGAGCTGCCTCCCCTGTGGCACCAAGGACCTCTCAGACAGAGAACTGCCATGTGCTCGGAGCCTCAGGACCACCCTGGGAGGGGAGAGGAGGCTGTGGGGAGTCCATTATAAAGATGAGGGGAGAACACTTGTGAGTGGCTTACAAAGCTGACAGCATGGCCAGGCCTGGCACGCTGCCGAGGCTCCCCTGCAGAGCTGAGACGTCCCTGCCGGGAGCTGGGGGTTTAGGGTCAGCTGGTAGGAAGTAGTTCTTTGTTTTGTTTCTTTTTAAAGACAACCACAGAGCCCTGGCCTGGCTCCAGGCCTTGTCCGGCACTGCAAGCCTCTTCCAGGGCAGGGCCTGAGGCCTGCACTTTCCTTACTCATTCATTCAGTGATTACTGAGCACCTGCCAGGTACTCAGCACTGTTCCATCAGTGGGGCGATACCTTTGTCTTCCCAGTCCAGTGTATTGAAATTACTCCAGAGATAACTGAAGAACAAATCGGTCCAAGGGCCTGGGGCTGGAGGCTCAATATCCCCCAACCCACCCAGTGATAACATTAACTGCCCTTTGAGGAACGTCTATGATATACTTGCTAATATCTCGGCCTCTCCATCTGATTCGCTCTCGGGACACCTGCCCCTATTTTCCAGATGAAGAAATGGAGGAAAAGACAACCAATCTGCTTCAGACTAGTAAGAGAGGAGCCTAAATCTGAGGCTAGACAGTCTGTCTCCCAAATCTATGCCCTGATCTGATGCTCTAAGTTACCTTGTGAGGAATTCCTGCCCAGAATGGCCGCAGCTAAAACTTACTTCTAGGCTTTCTGCATGTGTGAAACCCTCATTTCATCCTCACAAAAAACGATGAGTTGTAGATTATTGTTAACCAAATTTAGAGATGAGAAATTTGAGGCCCAGAGAAGTGAAGCAACTTCCACAAGGTCACACAGCTAAAAAAGAAAAAAAAAAAAACACACAGAAAAGGGGTTTGAGACACTGCTAGGTAGCTCATGCCTGTAAGCCTAGCACTTTGTGATGCCGAGGCTGGTGGTTCACCTCGAGGCCAGGAGTTCAAGATCAGACTGGCCAACATGGCAAAACCCTCTCTCTACTAAAAATACAAAAATTAGCTGGGTGTGGTGGTACATACCTGTAATTCTAGCTATTTGGGAGGCTGAGGAATGGGAATCGCTTGAACCAAAGTGACAGAGGTTGCAGTGAGCTGAGATCACACCACTGCATTCCAGCCTGGGCCACAGAATGAGTCTCTATCTTCAAAAAAAAAAAAAAAAAAAAACAGGAAAAGGTTTTTAACAAGGCAGACTGGCAGACTGGCAGACTGGCTCCAAAGCCCATGAGCTTGACCACTACTCCAGCTCCCATCAAAAGCAACTATTACCGCCCAAGAAATGTTTACAAACTTAGTGGTTTAAAACAGAAAAATAAATAAAAAATAAAACAGCACACATTTACGATCTTCAGGTTCTAGAAGTCAGAAGTCTGACACGGGTCTCACGGGGCTAAAATCAGGCTGTTGGGAAGTCTGTGTTCCTTTCTGGTGGCTGAGAGTGAATGGGTGTCCTTGCTTTTCTAGCTTCTAAAGCCTGCCTCATATGCCTTGCCTATAGCTTCTTCCGTCTTCAATTACAGCTCCAACGCATCTCTTTCACTCTGCCTCTGTGGCTGTATCTCTGTCTCTGAATAACTCTCTGCCTCCCTCTTCCACTCCTAAGGACCCATGTGATTATACGGGGCTCTCCCAGATCATCCAAAATCATCTGTCATCGCAGGGTCCTTGGCCTTCATAGCATCTGCAAAGTCCCTTTTGACATGCCAGGCAATATATCCACAGGTTCTAGGGATTCGGATGTGGACATTTAGGGGGATGGTATTCTGCCTGCCATGCAGGAATGACAGAGAGCACCCATCTCCTGTTTTAAGCATTCTTCAGTGAGGAGGTACCACCCTTTCTCCAAATGGAAATCAAGCTAGCTACCTCACCCTAACCACAATGCACACAGCCACATATATCTGCGCGGCCAATGAAGAAATCAGGAATGAAACAGTAAGCCATGTTTTTTCTTAAAAGCATATCCGGCTGGGCACATTGGCTCACATCTCTAATCCCAGCAATTTGGGAGGCCGAGGCGGGTGGATCACGAAGTCAAGAGATCAAGATCATCCTGGCCAACATGGTGAAACCCCGTCTCTACTAAAAAATACAAGAATGAGCTGGGCATGGTGGCACATGCCTGTAGTCCCAGCTACTCGGGAGGCTAAAGCAGGAGAACTGTTTGATCCAGGGAGGCGGAGCTTGCAGTGAGCCAAGATCACGCCACTGTACTCCAGCCTGGCGCCTGGCTACAGAACAAGACTGTCTCAAGAAAAAATAACTAATAAATAAATAAAATATCCACCCCATTGCCCCTTATAACATCTGGGGCGACCCACTGTCCTCGTTTGTAAAAAGGAAAACAGTGCTTGCCACACAGGGTTCATGCCAAGCTCACTGCGATCCTCAGGGTCAGAATGGCCTCCAATTAATGAGGACATTTTAGGTGGTTGACACTGTGCTAGGTGCTTAAAACACATTATTTTATTTACTTCAACTGCAACAGCTGGTGGGAGGCAGACTTAGTTTTCCCACTCTGCATATGAGACTCCTGAGGCTCAGACTTTAAGAGACAGTCAGGCCAGGTGCAGTGGCTCGCATCTGTAATCTTAGCACTTTGGGAGGCTGAGGTGGGTGGATCACCTGAGGTCAGGAGTTCAACACCAACCTGGCCAACATGGCAAAACGCCGTCTCTACTAAAAATACAAAAATTAGCCAGGTGTGGTGGTGCACACCTGTAATCCCAGCTACTTGGGAGGCTGAGACAGGAGAATCACTTGAACCCAGGAGGCAGAGGTTGCAGTGAGCCAAGATTGTGCCACTGCACTCCAGCCTCGGTGACAGAATGAGGATCAGTCTCAAAAAAAAAAGAGATAAGAGTCAGATTCTGGCCGGGCGCGGTGGCTCAAGCCTGTAATCCCAGCACTTTGGGAGGCCGAGGCGGGTGGATCACGAGGTCAAGAGATTGAGACCATCCTGGTCAACACGGTGAAACCCCGTCTCTACTAAAAATACAAAAAATCAGCTGGGCATGGTGGCGCGTGCCTGTAATCCCAGCTACTCAGGAGGCTGAGGCAGGAGAATTGC